CGCCTACTACCACCAATAGCCTCCCACCGGCCAGTACGCTCTCATAGAGAGGGACTCCTCCGGGTGCCGTCAGCCAAACAGTGTCGACTGGCGGCGCCTAGGGGGAGAGCCTTCTCTGTGGGGGCACCTACCATCTGGAATGAGCTCCCCCCGGAGATACGGAGGATCCCGGATCTGTGCTCCTTCCGCCATGCTGTGAAGACCTTTTTATTCCATCAAGCGGGCTTGGCCTGATCTCTTCCCTTTTAAATACGTAAATTTTAATCTGTTTTTAAATTATTGGGGCATTTTAATTTGTCTGGGCCAAATAATTTAATTTGATTTTATCGGGTTTTTAAATTTTGTGTATTTATGTATTTTATTGTTGGCTGTTCACCGCCCTGAGTCCTTCGGGAGTAGGGCGGTATACAAATCAAATAAACCTAAACCTAAACCTATATATATATATATATATATTTGTTTTTCTCATATATATATATAATATATATATATAATATATATATATATATATATATAATATATGCGGTGGCTCAGAGGCTAAGACGCTGAGCTTGTCGATTGAAAGGTCAGCAGTTTGGAGGTTCGAATCCCTAGTGTTGCGTAACGGGGTGAGCTCCTGATACTTGTCCCAGCTTCTGCCAACCCAGCAGTTCAAAAGCACGTAAAAAATGCAAGTAGAAAAATAGGGACTACAAACTATTTTGGTGTGTATGTGTGTGTATACACACATATCCCAGGTTATTTTCATCAATTAGCATGTAAAATGTTTAGAGGGTTTTTTTTAAAGTAGCATCTGTTTATTTTTCAGAATAAAGACAAAATTGTCTCTGTGATTTTTAAGGATTCTCCTAGGCAGCATTATTCTCAGATCATGTGTCATCCTTGTGTTGTTTGCCTGTAAGATTTGTGGTACCCAAACTTTCTGCCGACTGGGGTCCAGTTAAAATGGGGGCACACATTCCAAATACTCTCCCTTAACAAGATTGCCACTGGACAATGAAACCAAACTTTCTCATCCTGAGATTATCTTATACGTTACAAAAATGCAAGCTTAGACATACGTAGCTACCAGCTTTAGGCCTATAGTCATCAAAAGAAAAAAAAAATTGGGGTGTAATTATACTTTGAGTTTTGGTTTTGGCGTCAATGCTTAAACTAGCATTGGAGAAATTTCCTGAGCTATTAAGAAGTGGAACAGCTGGTCTCCCAGAATTATGGATGCTCCATCATTGGAGGCTTAAAAAAAAAAAGGTCAACTAACCTTCATACCAAGATGAGATGAAGACTTCACACCAAGGTGAGATGAAGACTTTTTTTTTAAAAAAAATTGATTTATATGCTGCCCTTCTCCGGAGACTCAGGGCGGCTTACAATGCGCTAAGCAATAGCCTTCATCCTTTTGTATATTTATACAAAGTCAGCTTATTGCCCCCACAACTGGGTCCTCAATTTACCTACCTTAGAAAGGATGGAAGGCTGAGTCAACCTTGAGCCTGGCGAGATTCGAACCTGCAGTAATTGCAGGCAGTTGGTCTTAATAACAGGGTGCTTTAGACCACTGTACTACCAAGGCTCCACACCAAGGTGAGATGAAGACTTCACACCAAGGTGAGATGAAGACTTCACACCAAGGTGAGATGAAGACTTCACACCAAGGTGAGATGAAGACTTCACAACAAGATGAGATGAAGACTTCATAACAAGATGAGATGAAGACTTGGGTAGGGAGTTGGACTACTAGAAGACCTCCAAAGTCCCTTCCAATGCTGTGATTATATAACTAAGTTGTGACAATGATTTGTTGCATCGTCTCTAAAATATGCTAAACTACCATGCAGATTAGAGATTTGGTTTAGGATTGTGCGTAAATCCATCCTCTATAGATTGTAAATCAAAACTTCTATTTCACTATGCTGTATGCCGTATTCGTGTGCTAGCTAACTGTGCTTGTGATTTGCTGGTCAACGACAGAAAAACCTGACTATGGTTTATGAAATAAACTACAGTTCAGCGATTCTGTGTGAGCCTCCCTAATTAGGACTAGGTCTGGAGCCAACACAATGAGTCTGAAAATTGTATTTTCTCCCTTGTTATGTTTCCTGAAAAGGAAACCATTATGCTGATGAGGAAGCACCCATAACAAACCGCAAGGAAATCAAAATGATGACACCAGGGCAATGATACAACCCACAAATATGGCAATTACATCTTGCATCATGGGGCCTGGTGATGATCCCATGCAGGTGTTATCCCTTGACACCCTGCCTGCCTGCACAAGAGTTCATGGCTAATTACGCTGAAATGTGCCAAAAGGAAGGTGAATATGCCATATACATTGTGATTCATCATACCATCACACACATAATGACATAATTCGCACAATTTGTGTGACGAGTCCTGATTCGTGAAATATCAGTCTGCCGTACCCCAGATATACAATGGCCAATCTTTCATGTTTTACCTAGGGTGGTGCTAAATCCTTCAGCTAATACAGCGTTTAGGTGAAGTTTCCACAAATAAGAGCCTTGATAGTACAGTGGTCTAAGCACCCTGTTATTAAGACCAGCTGCCTGCAATTACTGCTGGTTCGAATCTCTCCAAGGCTCAAGGTCGACTCAGCCTTCCATCCTTTCTAAGGTAGGTAAATTGAGGACCCAGTTTGTGGGGCAATAAGCTGACTTTGTATAAATATACAAAAGGATGAAGGCTATTGCTTAACGCATTGTAAGCCACCCTGAGTCTCCGGAGAAGGGCGGCATATAAATCAAATTAAAAAAATAAATAAATATTTTTAATATATACCTGAATGAAGGATTAAATGTTAGGAGTTTAGCTTCAAGGTATTGGTTACCATCTTTAGAGCGCTCCATGTCTTAGGACCTGAGTATCTACGAGACCGCCTTCTGCCACCGGTAGCCTCCCACCGGCCAGTACGCTCCCACAGAGAGGGGCTCCTCAGGGTGCCGTCGGTCAAACAATGTCGACTGGCGGCCCCCAGGGGGAGAGCCTTCTCTGTGGGGCACCTGCCCTTTGGAACGAACTGCCCCCGGAGATACGAAGGATCCCGATCTATGCACCTTCTGCCGTGCCCACAAAATTTTTCTATTCCAGCAAGCCGGGCTGGCATAGTTCTTTTAATTGTTTTTAATTCGTCTTTTAAAAAAGGTTTTTTTTTAATTAAATATGGGCCAAATTTGTTTAATTTACTTTTAAATTGTTTTAAATTTTTATATTTTTATGATTTTATCTTTGGCTGTACACCGCCCTGAGTCCTTCGGGAGAAGGGCGATATATAAATTTAAATAAATGAAAAATGAAAAGGAGTAATCCTTGACTTGCAACCATTTCTACAGTGACCGTTGGAAGTTACAAAGGCACTGGTAAAAAGGTGACTTGTGACAGTTTTTCACGCAATCGTTGCAGAATCCCCATAGTCACATCAATGGTGGGTTGCCCCTGGTTCGCACCAGTTCTATCGAACCGGTAGTAAAACCAGTGGGAGGCTCCGCCCACCGACCCCAATGTTATCAGAACGCTTCTGCGCATGCACAGAAGAGCCTGCGCACGTGCGCAAGCAAAGCAACCACACACGCGGCCCCATTGCAAACCGGTAGTGAAGGTAAGTAGAACCCACCTCTGAGTCACATGATCAAAATTCGGAAACTTGACAACTGGCATGTATCTATGACAGTTGCAGCATCCCAGGGTCATGCAATCACCTTTTGAAACCTTCTGACAAACAATCTCCGGCAGATTCACTTAACAACCATGTTATTAACTCAACAATTGCAGTGATTGGCTAAACAACACTTAGACTTATATGCCACTTCACAGTGCTTTACAGCCTGCTCTGACAGTTAAAAGGAAGAAACAGCTGCGATCACACACATTGCTCCTAGAAACACGAAGCCGAGAACACCAGCCTGAAGATGATGAATGAGACTTCGTCGCAAGTCAAGAGGACTAGTCCCTTGAAACAATTAGACAACACCATTCCAGCATGATGGCCCAACAGTTAAAGATGCTGAGCAGCTTGGGTCCGAGACCCAGGCACCATACAATGGAGTAAATTCCCCTTACTGGCACCAGCTCCTGCCCACCTAGCAGTCCTCGACTTACAACTGCAATTGAGTTCACAATTTCCACCGCTAAGAGAGAGAGTTGTTGTGAGTTTTGCTCCGTTTTACGACCTTTCTTGCCAGAGCTGTTAAGAGAACCACTGCAGTTGTTATGTTGTTAGCACAGCTATCAAGCACATCTGGCCTCCCCACTGACTTTTCTTATCAGAAGGTCGCAAAAGGGGAATCACATGACTCCGGGAACACTGCAACCGTCATAAATATGAAACAAGCGTCTGAATTTTGATCACGTGACCACGGGGAATGCTGCAATGGTCGTAAGTGGGGGAAAACGGTCGTAAGCAGTGGTGGGACTTGAATAACTTAACAACCCATTCTCTGGCTGGGTAGGCGTGGCCGGTTGGTCATGTGACTGGGTGGGCGACATCACTCATCACACCCAGCCCCGCCTCCTTGCCACTTCTCTCAAAGGCAGAGGCAGGATTCAGCCGGTTTGGGCTAATCACACCACTGGCTGGCCAGTGGCCCCTCCCCTTTTTTCGGCTGTTTTGGGGGCCTTTTTCAAGCTGTTTTTGGGCCATTTTCAGGCTGTTTTTAGGCCTGTTTTTGGCCCAAAAAACAGCCCAAAATAGCCCAGAAAACAGGCCGAAAAACGAGCAGGGGTGGGGCCAGCGAATGATGGGATTTGCAGGTTCGCCGAATTGCGCAGAATCTTAACTACCAGTTCGACTAAACCGGTGCGAACCGGAAGCAACCCACCTCTGGTCGTAAGTCACTTTTTTCAGTGCCGTCGTAACTTTTTTGGGGGGTAACCTTTAGAGTAACGATCGCTAAATGAACGGTTGAAAATCAAGGACACGACTGGACAGGGGGAACTTTATCCGTTCCTTCATTCCAGGGCATCGCACTGAACCTTCTTACCTTCAGTTCTGTCTTCCCCCTGAAGTTCATTTTGTAACCTTCTTTAAGACTGTGAAGGATCCTCATGGTATTTTGGCTGATGTGAATCCTGTAGGCTGAATTTTTTTAAAAAAAAAAAAATTAACGAGAAAGAAAAAGCATACATGAATCCTGGCGCATCTCTCGTACATATGTTTGAAAGCAAGAGAGAAATAAAAAAAAGGAGGAAAGCAGAACGAACTCATCTAGGTATGTTTCCTATTTGGTGGTCTCTCCGGTAAGGCTGACACATGCTTTCTTGTCATTTTGAGTTCAAACCTGGTTACTTTGGTAACAAAACTGGTCTGTTTCCATCAAGGTCATCTTGCTTGCTCTCTAAGATAATGCTTGCAAGAATGCAAAATAACAGAGCTGGAAGGGACCTTGGAGGTCTTCTAGTCCAGCCCCCAACTCAAGCAGGAGACCTTCTACCATTTCAGACAAATGGCTGTCCAGTCTCTTCTTAAAAACTTCCAGTGTTGGAGCACTCACAACTTCTGGAGGCAAGTTGTCCCACTGATTAATTGTTCTACTAACTGTCAGGAAATTTCTCCTTAAAATCGGGGTTGCCTGGACACCATAGTGGAAAATATTAAATTGAAAATGAATACAGCAATAGAGAGAGATGAAAGAGGAGTAGAGAGTAGAGAGATGGAAGAGAAGGGGAGAAGAGAGAGGGATGGATGAGAGGGGAGGAAGGAAGAGAGGGGAAATGGAAGAGAGATGGAAGAGAAGGGGAGAAGAGAGAGGGATGGAAGAGAGGGGAGGAAGGAAGAGAGAGGAAATGGAAGAGAGATGGAAGAGAAGGGGAGAAGAGAGAGGGATGGAAGAGAGGGGAGGAAGGAAGAGAGGGGAAATGGAAGAGAGATGGAAGAGAAGGGGAGAAGAGAATAGGAGAGACGGTCAGACAGGGAGGAAGAAAGGAGGAGAAGGAGAAAGGAAGAGGAAGTAGAGAGGAGGGGAAGAGGAGGGGAAGAGAAAGTAAGAAGGAAAGAAGAGAGGGAGCTGGCAGGATTGAGAAGAAAGATTGCTGTACAACAAAAAAAAGATGAAATGGAAGAAAGGCAACCCCGAACACATATAAATATACTAAGATAAAGAATGAATGGTTAAAAAAATAAAAGAGAATAAATATGAATAAGCAGGAAAATTAGAATTTGAGGGCGAATGACGATCTTGTTTATATAAATAAGCAAAGAAATATTGAGATATGATTAAAAAAGGGGGAAAAAGAAAATTGTGGCAAAAATTGTAATTGAGTAAAATGTATTTGAATTTGATAAATTGTATAAGATAAGAGATGGCCAATACTCTGTTCAAAAAAAATGTGGGGGAATGGGGGGGGGGACCAATAAAACTTGATTTTTTTTTTAAAAAAAAGGAAATTTCTCCTTAATTCTCCTTAATGCTTCTTTCCTTGATTGGTTTCCATCCGTTGCTTCTTGTCCTGCTTTATTCAGGGGCTTTGGAGAATAGATTGGCCCCCACCACCCCCAGATAAATTTCAGATTAAAGGCCTTGCCGGCAACTCCATGCCAACATTTCCTTGACACAACTGTTGTGGCTCTGTTGCCTGAGCCTGGGCTATCGACAGATGCAGACTCTGAGAGTGAGGGAGAGGAGTTGGCAAGGTCTCCCGCTCCAGGACCCTCCTCTCTGGCAATGCCTCCGGAGGACACCGAAGCCAAGAGATAGGCCCAGAGCCAAGCACGTCCCCGCAGCCACAGGTGGACAGCGACGAAGGAGATAAGTGCTGGCTGGACCCTCGGCAGAGGCGCAGGGAGAAGCGTGCGCAGCAGAGGGGAAGGCGTGCCAGAGATTAGCTGAGTCACTGGACCACACCCCACAGGGTATAAATATGGGTGTGGTGGCCGGTTCAGTTTGTGACGAGCAAAAACTGGAAATAATCCATCTCTCCGTTACTGGACTTCTGCTTGCCTTGTCGGACTGCATTAGGACTAATCCTTGTATTGTTGAAAACTCTGCCTGTTTTATTGGAATGCTGGCAGTCTAATCTTTGTTTTGTGTGAGTAAAGTCTGAATTGGCAGCTAGCCACTGGGTTGCTGCCAGCTTTATCATCAAAGAGTTTTGTCGTGTGGCTTATTAACTCCGGGCCGTCTGTGGGGGTGCGTGTGGGCTACGGGGACAAAACAACAACACTCAATCCTTACGCAGTCCTGTAGACTCTATTCGTGAAGCCGTATTCACTGTGTCTCCAAACAGGCAGTACCTGGGCATGGTGAGGCCTACCACTCCTGCAGCACAAGGACCTAGGAAAAGTAAAAAGATGTTTTTTTAAAAAAAAATTACCTCAGATGGATCTAGGTTTTGCGACCAGATCATAGAAAATGGCAAAAACAACAACAACAACAGTGCAAGATCAGAAGATGCGGAGAGACCTGGCCTGTAGACTCAGTTGATTGAATAGAATAGAATGATAAAGTTGGAAGGGACCTTGTAGGTCATCTAGTCCAACCCCCTCCCGCCCCAAGCAGGAGACCCAGTGGTGAAATCTAATTTTTTTTTACTACCGGTTATGTGGGTGTGGCTTGGTGGGCGTGACAGGGGAAGGATACTGCAAATTCTCCATTCCCTCCCCACTCTAGGGGAAGGATGCTGCAAAATCTCCATTCCCACCCCACTCCAGGGAAGGATACTGCAAATCTCCATTCCCACCCCACTCCAGGGGGAAGGACATTGCAAAATCTCCATTCCCACCCCATTTCTGGAGCCACCCAGAGGTGGTATTTGCCGGTTCTCCGAACTGCTCAAAATTTCCGCTACCGGTTCGCCAGAACCTGTCAGAACCTGCTGGATTTCACCCCTGAGGAGACCCTACGCCATTTCTGACAGATGGCAGTCCAATCTCTTCCTGAAAGCTCCTTATTTCCAGGTTGAATCTCTCCTTGGCCAGTTTCCATCCATTTGGAATGGATAACATCATCAGGTTATGCTAAGCCAAGGCAAAGTTTTCCCCAAGAATCAGGTACGGTTAAGTTGGACTACAGTTTTAAGGAAATAAATTCAAATTTATTGCAATCTTGTTTTATTCATTGTTGGTTTTAACATGTGCTGATATTGGAACTGATATTGGAGCATAGAAACAAGGCGGGCAGGTACATAAATCCTAAAAAATAAATGAACTGCGGTGATTTCACACTGGAGCAGGAATACGGGCAGTCCCCGACTTACAACGGTTCATTTAGTGACCGTCCGAAGTTACGACGGCACTGAAAAAAGTGACTTATGACCGTTTCTCACACTTAGACAGTTGGCAACTGACTCGTAGTTATGATGGTTGCAGCGTCTTGGAGTCCTGTGATAACCTTTCGTGACCTTCTGACCAACAAAATCAACAGCAAAGCCAGATTCACTTAACAACCCAACTTAATGGCAATGATTCATTTAACAACAGTGGCAAGAAAGATCCTAAAATGGGACAAAGCTCCCTTAACAAATGTTTCGTTTAGCAACAGAAATTGGGGGTGGGGGGGTGGGGTGTCAATTGTGGTCGTAAGTTGAGGCCAGTGGTGGGTTTCAAATTTTTTTACTACCGGTTTTGTGGGTGTGGCTTGGTGGGCGTGGCAGGGGAAGGATACTGCAAAATCTCCATTCCTTCCCCAATCCAGGGGAAGGTTACTGCAAAATCCTCATTTCCTCCGATCAGCTGGGACTCGGGAGGCAGAGAATAGATGTGGGGGACGGGGCCAGTCAGAATTTTTACTACCGGTTCTCCGAACTACTCAAAATTTCCGCTATCGGTTCTCCAGAACTGGTCAGAACCTGCTGAAACCCACCTCTGGTTGAGGCCCAATCTGTATAATCTATCATCTGTCCATTGCACTTTCCATTATTCCTTATCCACGGCTTTAAAAGGGGAGGTCAAGTTAGGATTTGAACTTGAAGCAGAAAATTGTGTCAAGGGTGTGTCCACCAACCTCCATTTTCACGGAACAAGCAGGCACGACAAAGAAGCCATCAGTAAAAATTCAAGGCCTCAATAAATTTAACACCAGAATGAAAACTCCTCGGGCGCTAGATCACATGAAGCAGGAAGAAATACACCTTGATACCTGAATGCAGCCCCATCCGTATCTTAACCGGCAAATCCGGGATATGTTTCACTTTGAAAGCTCCCACTGAGCTGAGGATATCCAGAGACATGTTGGCGATCTCAGCGGCATGCCTGTGGCCATTGCGTGTCGGGAGCCCCGATGCCACCATATAAGCATCGCCGATGGTCTCCACCTGGAAATCAAAATATTATCTGTATTTTTTTTCCCTTTTTTTAAAATTTGTAATTTTATTATAACGCATATATGACATTCACATAACATACAACATATACATATCTTATCTCTTTTAAACATTGTTTCTTCGTGGTCTTCTTTCTGTTATTTTATCTTTCTTCCCCTATGTCTTCATTTCTTTCTTCTTCTTCTTTTTTTTTTCTTTCCCCATTGTCCTTTTATTTCCCCCCTCAAAAAATATGTTTTTTAGCTTTAACAAGCTTAACTTTATACATTTCTCTACAATTTTTATATACATATTTTAATTATATCTTTAATATGATACCTTTCTATATTCTTGTTACATAACAAATTTTCTTTTTTTTTATTTATACTACTTGTTTTTGTCCGTTTCGATATTTTTATTCCACTCCATGCGTTTGTTATTGTATATATTTTATACGTCTAATTTTCTCCCCTGATAGTTATTATTCTTTATTTCTCGCCTTAAACCATTTATACCATTTATTCCATACTCTATAATAATCCGTCTCTTCTTTTTCTTTCATTTCTTTTGTTAATCTGTCCATCTCAGCACATTCTAAGATTTTCTATTCTATTATTATCACATTCTATTATTTGTATTTCTAAGGGGAAAATAAGAGCTGGAAGTGACAGAAGGCACCGAGATGGATGCTGGGTTAAATTTCCTGTGTTTGAGCAGAAAGTGGGTGTATTTCTGCTACAACACTGGAGGTTTTATTTATTTATTTATTTATTTTATTTATTTATTTATTAAATTTCTATACCACCCTACTCCCGAAGGACTCAGGGCGGTGCACAGCCAAACAATAAAAACCCATACAATACAAAATTTAAAAAATAGAATAAAATCAAATTAAATAATTTTGGCCCCGACAAATTTAAAACCCCAAACTTTTAAAACCAATTTAAAATTGAATATATAAAATACTAAAAGATATTTAAAATTTTAAAAAAATTTTATAAAAGAGGGAGAAAATTAGGCCAGGCCTAATTTTGAAGAAGAGATTGGATAACAGTTTGTCAGGAATGATATAGGACTGTGATGGTAAACCTATGGCACGCATGCTACAGGTGGCATCTCTGCGGGCAGGTGAGCCGACGCCCAGGTAAACTCCACCTCGCGTTCCCACGCACCTCCCGCCAGCCAGCTGATTTTCAGGTCTCTGCCGGGAGACGCGCACGGTTGCGCAGGGGGTGGGGGCGTGTAGTGCGCTCCACCTCTCATTTTAGGTTCCAGGACGCTTCAGAGAGGCCTGCTAGCATAAAAACAGGGGGTCACGTCAGTGGTGGATTGCTCCCAGTTCGCACCGGTTCGCAAGAACCGGTAGTAAAAATTTGTAGTAGTTCAGAGAACCAGTAATAACATTGGCTGGCCACGTCCCCGAACCGGTCCCTGGCCCGGTCGCCGCTCGCTTACCCCGCCCAACTCATCAGAGGCTTTTTTTTTTTAATCTTTTAAAAGCATTTTTTCTACAACCTCTTCGGCCGAAAAATTGCTTTTAAAAGTAAAAAAAAAAAGCCTCTGATGATCGTACGGCTCAGCTGGGATCGGCAGAGGCTTTTAAAAGCATTTTTTTCAGCCGAAGAGGTTGTAGGGGGAAAAAATGCCTTTAAAAGCCTCTGGCGATCCCAGCTGACTTGCCTGATCATCAGAGGCTTCTAAAAGCATTTTTTTTTCTGCAACCTCTTCACCCGAAGAGGTTGTAGGGGAAAAAAAATGCCTTTAAAAGCCTCTGGCGATCCCAGCTGAGTTGCCTGATCGTCAGAGGCTTTTCAAAGCATTTTTTTTTCTGCAACCTCTTAAGGTTATAGAAAAAATGCTTTTAAAAGTTTAAAAAAAAAAAAGTTGGCCACACCCACCCAGTCACATTACCCCCACCACCAAGCCACGCCCACAAAATAAGCCACACCCACAGAACCGGTAGTAAAAAAAAAATAGAATCCACTCCTGGGTCGCGTGTGCATCAGCCACAAAAAAGAGTTGGAAATTGGAGGAATAAGAAAGGAGTCGGGGGCGGGGGGGTGGGTGTCTGAAAAATATATGCTGAGAACCACAAACTAATTTTTTTGCCCCTCTGATGTAAAGAGGATCTTCATCCTACGGGATAGCAGTCTTCCAATATTTGAGGGGCTGCCCCAGAGAAGAGGGGGAATAGGTTTATTCTCCAAAACACCCGAAGGCAGGAGAAGAAGCAACGGATGGAAACTTATCAAGGAGAGAAGGAACCTGGAATTACGGGCAAATTTCCTGACTGTGTAAACAATTAACCAGTGGAACTGCTTGCCACCAGAAGTTGTGGGTGCTCCATCATTGGAAGTTTCTAAGGAGAGTTTGGATAATTGGATAATGCCTGACTGTGTGGCTCAGTGGCTAAGACACTGAGCTTGTCGATCAGAAAGGTCGGCAGTTCGGCGGTTCGAATCCCTAGTACAGGTCTCCTGCGTGAGCAGGGGGCTGGACTAGATGACCTCCAAGGTCCCTTCCAAATTTTGTTATTCTGTTCTGTTTCTATCTTTTGATACGGTCTGGTGGTCCACATCTGCAGCATTTAAGCAGGATTCAACCTGGACTCTGAGGGGAGATACCAGCAAATAATATCAAGGCCATTTGGTAGATGGGGAAAAAAAAAAATCAAAACACATCCCAGAAAAAGGGCATCACGAGCCTTTTTTGGTCTTGAGGAAAAGTGGAAGACAAGGACCTACCTTGTAAACGTCATGATGGCCGATGATGGCGTCAAAGAGAGTGTAGAGGTCATTTAGAAGGTCCACAATTTCAATGGGCTCACAGAGGGCAGACATGGTGGTGAAGCCGATAATGTCGCTGAAGTAGATGGTGACCTCGTCAAAGTATTCCGGCTCCACGGATGCTCCCCTGATCAGCGTTTCAGCCACTGGCCTGAAATGACATTAGGAAAGGGTGGGGACAACGATGGCCCTTCTATGACTTGTGGACTTCAACTCCCAGAATTCCTTCTATTCTACAGGATATATCGGTAGAATAGAACAGAATAGAAAGAGAAAGAGAAAGAGAAAGAGAAAGAGAAAGAGAAAGAGAAAGAGAAAGAGAAAGAGAAGATAGAAGAAAAGATAGAAGATAAAAGATAAGATAAGAGAATGTAGAATAGAAATAGAATAGAATAGAATAGAATAGAATAGAATAGAATAGAATAGAA